CTAACGGGGCCCTGGGGTCACTGAGAGCCGGGCCCCAGCTCCCAGCGTGACAGGCCCCAGTGACACACACAGAACCCCCACAGGCGGAAGGAGCCGTCACCGTCTCACACCCACCTGCCCCTTTTAGGGTTGCCAGGTGTCTAGTTTTGGACCGGACAGTCCAGAATTTGAGCTTTCTGTTTGGGAAACAAATGGAGACAATAGAAGTGTCTGGCCTTTTCTAAATCAGATGGGATGTAGATTGTAATGTCATGTCAAGCGTGTCCAGTATTTTTGTTGAAACCATCTGGCACCCCTACCCCCCATCCAGCCCTGACAAGAGCCACAAGAGAACCTGCCATGACCAAGGGCCAGGCCATCACTTGCCCAGAGGTGGAGGGGGGGCACTTTAGCTTGCCTGGGCGCAGCGCTTCAGACTGGCCAGTTCCCATTCTCAGGCAGAACAACTTCCACACCAGACTGCAGGGAGACACTGCGGATCTGGGATTCCCATGCAAATATGACACCTTCAACCAACCAACCAACACCTAGAGTGGTTCTCTGCATGAAAATGGGTCCTTTCCTATTCAAGTGCTCATCTTCTCACCACTCCTGACACCGCTTCATTAGTTTCATTAACTTGGGTACTGCAATTGTCAAGTATTTCTTCTGCTGTTATATCTAATCTGTCCTCTTTCCACGAGGAGTAACGGTAGTTCGAACTAGGAAGCCTAGTTCGAACTACCTAGTTCGTGCCCCGTGTAGCTGCGCTGCACGGGGTTCGAACGAGCGGGGATTTAAAAATGGCGGCGCCCCGCTTATGCAAATGAAGCCCGCGAAATTCAAATCCCGGGCTTCATTTGCAATTGCGGTATGCCTACATTACCCTCCTAATTCGAATTAGGAGGGTAGTGTAGACATACCCTCTGTCCACATACACCCCCTCTAGCTATCCATCCATCCATCCCTCCCCCCACGCACCCCTCCTATTTATCCCCATGCACCCTCTCCTATCTATCTATCTATCTATCTATCTATCTATCTCCATACACCCCTTCTATCTATCTATGTATCTATCCACAAACAGACGGTTCAAGGGAGTTTTCTCAACGTGTTTTGTGTAGGCTAGACAACAGAGACTGCAGGTTGCTGGCTATGGAAGGTGTTCCTCTGAGGGAGCTCAGAAGGCACCAGGCAGCTGCAATAGTTTGGGTATCAGTGGAGGATTTATTACTACAATTAGTCTGCAGAGCCAGCCTTGTCCAGGGCCTGTTATGGAAGCCCTGAGCCCCCCTAGGACAATGCAATCATTGTAGGGTGTGTAGTCACCGTCCTGGCAGACCGCGGATTGTTTTTCATTGTTTCCTTTCCAAGAGCCCCCGTGGTGAGTTTGGAAAGGAGTTTGCAGGGACCCCTCTAGAGCAACCGAAATAAAGGAATTGTGTGTTTAAAAAAACCCTGGTCTGATAATGACTGCTCTGGGTGTGGGCAGGCCTGGGTTCATTAGCATCCAGAGCAGGGATTTCTCATCGGGCAGTGCTTCCTGGATCCCAGAGCTCAGTGGGGGTCTTGCCTTGGAATTGTCTTCCTCTGCCTTTTCCTTGCTTTTGTAAGTCTTCTGATCCGCTTTGGGTCAGGCAGAGCCTGTGCCCTGGTTCCCCAAGGACACAGACCTGGTCGATAGCACCTGCGATGGCCAATCCTGCAAGATGCTGTTGCTTTCCAGCCTGTGGGAGGCTACTGAGGATGCTGGCTTGCAGCTCCCAAAGGGTTAACATTGGTGGTGGGGGCGGGGGAGGCACTGGGGCCCTTTATGGGGCTGGTGACCGGGGGTGATTTGCCCATGTTCAGAAGCATCCTCTGGCAGCCATTTGAGCACAACTGCAGGGGCTGCCTCAGTTTCCCTCCTTTCACCCTTTGAAAGGACCCTAGTGTCTGAATGTGCCCCTGCCTGGGGCTGATTTACTGCCCCATGGTGTAAACAGTCCCTGCACACCCAGCCTATTGGACACCCAAACGCCCCAAACCCAGAACCAGCGGCTGGTTCTTTCCAGGCTTCCCAGACCTGTCCTGGTGGCTCCCCTGGCTCTGGGACACACTAGGACGGCTCCAGCCTCAAGCTGCTCACCCCAGAGGTGGGAGGTGGGTGGCCAGACAGGCTGATTTTCTATGAGCACAGAAACAGTGGCCTGAGTCCTCCCGCAGGTGCCCTTAGCTCCATGCAAAGGGGCTTCTCAATGCAGCCCCTGCCCCTCGTTAGCTGCCTCGGGTTCTCAACCAAGCCTGAGCATGGACAAGCCCATAGGACTTACTACAGGAGACCAGTAATAGAAATGTAGCCGTGTTAGTCTGGGGTAGCTGAAGCAAAATGCAGGACAATGTAGCACTTTAAAGACTAACAAGATGGTTTATTAGATGATGAGCTTTCGTGGGCCAGACCCACTTCCTCAGATCAAATAGTGGAAGAAAATATATGGTTGTGACTATTTTCTTCCACTATTTGATCTGAGGAAGTGGGTCTGGCCCACGAAAGCTCATCATCTAATAAACCATCTTGTTAGTCTTTCTGTATCTGTGCGAGTTTCTTCATATGGTTGATGGATTTCCATTCCAAACGGCTAAATGTAGTGCCTTGCATGTAGAATAGTGATAGAAATGTAGCCGTGTTAGTCTGGGGTAGTTGAAGCAAAATGCAGGACAATGTAGCACTTTAAAGACTAACAAGATGGTTTATTAGATGATGAGCTTTCGTGGGCCAGACCCACTTCCTCAGATCAAATAGTGGAAGAAAGTAGTCACAACCATATATACCAAAGGATACAATTTAAAAAAATGAACAAATATGAAAAGGACAAATCACATTGCAGAACAGAAGGGGGATGCGGGGGGGTGGGAAGGGGGAGGAAGGAAGGTAAGTGTCTGTGAATTGCTGATATTAAAGGTAGGGAGAGTGGGATGTTTGTGAGTTAATGGTATTACAGGTGATAATTGGGGAAACTGTCTTGGTAATGGGTGAGAAAGTTCAAAGACTTGTTAAGTCCTTGTTGGTAAGTGTCGAATTTTAACATGAATGACAGTTCAGAGGATTCCCTTTCAAGTGCAGATGTAAAAGGTCTTTGTAGCAGAATGCAGGTGGCTAAGTCATTTAGAGAGTGTCCTTTCTGGTTAAAGTGGCAAGAAACTGTTTTCTCTTTGTGATCTTGTCTGATATCTGTTTTGTGGGCATTAATCCTTTGGCGAAGTGTCTGAGATGTTTGTCCAATGTACATAGCAGACGGACACTTTCGGCACATGATAGCGTAGATTATATTTCTGGATGCGCAGGAATATGTGTTCTTGATCTTATAACTCACTTGGTTAGGTCCAATAATGGTATCAGCAGAATGAATATGTGGACAAAGCTGGCAACGGGGTTTGTTGCAAGGGAAGGTACCAGGGTTGGTATTAGTGTGGTATGTCCTGTGGTGGTTGGTAAGAATCATCTTGAGGTTAGGTGGTTGTCTATAGGAGACTATGGGTCTGTCTCCCAGAGCCTCTTTGAGTATGGTATCCTGTTCCAATATAGGCTGTAGTTTATTGATAATGTGTTGGACAGGTTTAAGTTGGGGGTTGTAGGTGATGACAAGTGGTGTTCTATTGTTGGTTTTCTTGGGTCTGTCTTGAAGTAGATGGTTTCTAGGTATTCGTCTGGCTCTTTCAATTTGCTTTTTTGTTTCTCTGGGTGGGTAGTTGAGATTTATAAATGCTTGGTAGAGATCCTGAAGCTTCTGGTCTCTGTCAGTGGGGTTAGAGCAGATGCGGTTGTATCGAAGGCCTTGGTTATAGACGATGGATCGTGTGGTGTGTTCTGGATGGGAGCTGGATGCATGTAGGTAACTGTATGAGTCGGTGGGTTTTCTGTAGAGAGTGGTGTCTAATTTTCCATTGTTGATTTGTACGGTGGTGTCCAGGAAGTGGATCTCTCGTGTAGAATGGTCCAGGCTGAGGTTGATGGTGGGGTGTAGGTTGTTGAAATCTCTGTGGAATATCTCCAGTGTTTCTTGGCCATGTGTCCAGATCATAAAGATGTCATCGATGTACCGTAGGTAGAGGAGGGGTGAAAGGGGACGGGAGTTGAGGAAACGTTGTTTTAGGTCAGCCATAAAGATGTTGGCATACTGTGGGGCCATGCGTGTACCCATGGCTGTGCCGCTGATCTGGAGGTATAAGTTGTTCTCAAACTGGAAATAATTGTGGGTGAGAACAAAGTTACATAGGTCTCACATTGTTAGATAGGTCTTACATTGTTCTCACCCACAATCGTGATATTTGCATCACTGCGTGAACCTGTGGCCTCACAGTTGGTAGGGGGTTTTCTCAGAGCCCAGCTCAGCCGGCCTGCTTCACTGAGCTGCTATGATGGGGAGGTGTCTTCAATTCCTTGCTCCAGGCCTCTGTCCAGCAGAGAACCTATAGACCCCCCACTTTAGGGGATCACAGCCCCCCAGTACACAGGGCTGGATTCTCCTCCATGCCAATTCTTCGTCTCCCCCTCCCCCCCCATGCACACACACAGATGCACAAAGGACCCTGATGGTGGGTTTTGATGCACTGGGTGCCCGCTGAAGACCCTTTCCATGGCCAGAGCTGTGTCATGGGGCTCTGGGGTATGATAGAATTCCTAGCGCGGCAGGGTCATGGGGCCATAGACAGAACCATCAGGAGCAATGCCCGTTTCCCACCCTCCACAGCCCCTTTCATCCTGGAGCAAGGCACATGAGCCCTCCCCAGCCCAGCGCCCTGGGTTTGCACTGGCCAAAGGCCAGCACTGGGCTGGGTTCCTTAGGGAGGGGGTGGAATCTCTATTCCTAGAGGTGTTAAGTCCTGGCTGGCTGGGATGGTTGAGCTGGGGCTGGTCCTGCCTTGGGCAGGGGGCTGGACTCGGTGCCTCCGAGGTCTCTGCCCCCCAGGAGTCTGTGATTCTGAGGTGGAGCCCTGTGCTCAGGGTGACACGCTCTGAGGGGTTGTGGCTGCCTTGTGCTCACTGGGTGACTTACCCCGAGGGCTGAGTCACATCCCGCCCAGCAGGGGCTTATTGCCAAATCCCAGCTCTTGGTGGGGAAACTGCAGAGCCCCGGGGAGATTTATTTCTCCACAGTCCAGCCTCAGCCGCAGAGAGGAGCCAGGATCGTCCTGCCCGCCAGACCCACCATCCAACCCGTGCCAGGCTCTAGCTCCAGGATCTCTGTCACCAGCCGTCCCACACTGTCCGGATGGAGCGGGCTCGTCTTTCCCCTTCTTTTCTTTTGCTCCTTCTGCTCTTACAGCCTGGCGGTGAGTGATGGGACCTGGAGGGTGGGACACGGTGACACGCCTGTCACCCCCCAACCCTGCGCCTGGGAGCTTAGTGCTGGATTCAGTCCCTTCGTCACCTTTTCCACGTAGCGCTAACCCGGGCCAGCAAAGGGCCGCTCAGCCAGGGCTGGATAGCAGGGCTGGGGGCTGGAATGGAGGGCAATTGGCAGAGCTGAGAGGGGGAAGGGGTTGGAATGGGAGGGGGTTGCATGTTGGGACTCAGGGGCATCAGTGGAGGGAGGGGAGTCCAGGGCTGGAATGGAGGGGAATAGCCCCACTCCCAGCTCCCCTGACCCGATAGGGCTCCATCCTCTCCAGAGGTTTTCAAACAACGGGTAGCACCCTAGCACTGGGCAAGGAAAGTCAGGCCCTGGGGCTCGTGGATGCTGGGGGATCCGGTGAGCAGCGGGGATGCTAAGGCAGCTCCCTGCCTGGCCTGGCACTGCAGACTGCGCTGCACCCAGGAGCGGCCGCCAGCAGCCCCAGCTCCTAGGGGGACAGGCCCGCGCACTGCCTCTGCCCTGAGCAGTAACCCTGCACTCCCACCGGCTGGGGGCCCGC